AAAGGTTAATGTTAAAATGAGTTGTGATGGTGCATTTATAAAAAAAATTATTATTATTTATTTTAAATTGAAAAATGTTTATATAGAGCTAAGGCTCTAAACAATCAAATTAGAGCCCACCTCAAAAATTGCACTAGAAGAGGTTGTTTTGATGCCCAAATATCCTAAAATTGATCATCTCAACATTTAGATGCATGGACATGCGAAAAAAAAAATGGATTTTAAGTTTTGAGAATAGTGCATCTTGTAATGCATTTTTTTACTATCAATTTTTAAGACTTTCAAGTTTTTATGGATCGGCTCGATCTACACTATTTTTAAGTTTTGAGAATAGTGCATCTTGTAATGCATTTTTTTACTATCAATTTTTAAGACTTTCAAGTTTTTATGGATCGGCTCGATCTACACTATTTTTTAAGCTTTAAATTTTATGATTAAAGATGAAAATATATTTTAAAGCTGGCACAAAAATTTTGAGTATTGACACCACATTTTTCGATACTATTTGAAGGTGCTCTTTACTTTAATTGTTTAGAGCCTCAGCTCTATACAAGCGACACCCTTTCAAAAATTTAGTTTACTTAATAATTAATTAATAGAAAATTTAAAATTTTCACAAAAAGTTAAAATTGATGTACAATAGGTGTGATGTACAAAAATTAAGCAATAAACTTTACAGTCAAAGAGAAACTATCAACCTGACCATATTTGCTCAATTTCTCGCATGCTTGCTTCCTGATTTCTTTCTTTATTGACATGCGAAAATGACACGTCCCTATATCTCAAGAAGAAAATCAACTCATAAAGTCCATGCCTCAAGCTCCAGGAACTTTGAGCTTACCATACACCAATTGATAATATTTGTTGAATCCCCTTCTAACCAAATCTCATAAAAATGTGGTTGAATATACTCAACTCCTTTTGTCGTTGCTCTAAATTTTGCTTCATTGGCAGTATAAGGAACACATGGAACAGTAAATTTCACAATTCTATTACTGTTCTCATAGTTTCCTCCAGCAGAACTTGGATTCCTTTATAACTAATATCTACATTCAATTTCACTCATCCACAAAAGGTGGCTACTGTCACATGAGCTTTTTCATCGTCTAGCCCACGTGGCTTGACGCCCAAGCGTGCATACTTGAATGCCAGATTCAGCCTTTTTCAGTGCCACCACATAACAGAAGATCATATTTATTAGGGTAAAGTGCTGCTGATCCTTGGTCACATTGTTGGCCTCCTGGCGAGTACCACTTTCTCTTGATTATACACCACTACCTCGGTTATACACCATGGTCATATGCCCTGTCGACTGCATCCCACCAATCACCCCAAGGTCCTCTACACTTGGCTGCTTACGCACACACCACAGGGTCACGTGATGTGATCCTCATGTGACCCATGTGATGTGTGTGTGTGCAAACAGCTAGGTACAGAGGGCCTATTGCAAGGGTACAGACAATGTGAACAAGTGCGGGCTGATAGAAGGAAGCCAAGGGCTTGCCCTAGAAGGGATCTTGGGGTGACTGGTGGAATGTAGTTGACAAGCATAGGACCGTAGTGCGTGACTAAGGTAGTGGCATGTGACCTAGAGAAGGAGGTACGTGACCATAGACCAACAATGCGCGACTGAAGATTGGTGACACTTTACCCTTGTAAGTATGCTCTTTTACTATGTATTGGCACTAAGAGAAGCTAAACCGGGCATCCAAGTATGCACACTTGGGTGTCAGGGTTGCACGAGCTAAGGATGAAAAGCCCCAGTGACATATGGTATCAGAGCAGGTATGGGGCGCGGTTGCAGCAACAGAACTGCCTGTGTACCAAGGATTGTCTAAACCACCACGAGCTAGTAGAAGTTATTCACATTGTGGCGAAGGCATGAAGCTCGTGTCAAGACCCAAGAGGAGCACTTGAAAGACATATGTGGGAAACAACATTGGTCGTGGTGGCATGGGTGGATCTAGCCCTAAAAGCTAGGCATGGTGGCCGCATAAGGTACAAGCTGTGCAAGTGACGAGTGGGACATAGTGGCAGGAGAGTTGACCACTCACTCGGGTGCATGGTGGCTGCAAGAGCACGAACTGTGTGTGTGCATGATGGGGAGGCTTAGTAGCTCAAATGGATGCAACCAGTGTGCGGAGATGGGCATTAGTTGAAGCTGCATTGCGTTTTATGGGAACCAGCAAAGGCCAAGCGTCTGACGATGACATCGGAGTTTGGGGTGGTGGAAGCTTGTCAAACCTCTTCTCATCGTAAGCCTTATGTGACTTGTGTGATGTGTGTGTTTTGGCAGCTAGGTGCAGCGGGCCTGATGCAAGGGTACGAACAGGGTGAACAAGTATGGACTGACAGAAGGAAACCAAAGGCCTATCATTTGTGGATCCCAGAGCGAACCTTGGGATGACCGATGGAATGTAGTCGACATGCATATGACCATGGTGCATGATTGAGATAGTGGTGCGTGACTAAGAGAATAAGGTACACGACCAAAGATTATCGACTGAGGATTGACGTCACTTTACTCTTGTAAGTATGCTCTTCTACTATGTGGTGGTACTGGTGGTGGTATTGAGAGATGCTAACTTGGCATCTAAATATATACGCTTGGGCATCAGGGCGGCACGGGATAGGCAATGAAAAGGCCATGTGACTGTTACCATATGTCACTCCTCACCTCCTTCCTCGTATGAAAATGTGCAACCTGCCTCGCACCCACATGATATCTTCCTTAGAGACCCATTTAAACTATGGACGAGCTAAGGCCAAACAAACTATTGATGCACACAGTTCCCATCTCGCCAGTTGAATCTCCTTCACATGCCTCGGGAAACCATGTTATTCCGCTCTTTCCATGTATGTCACATGATTTCAACCATTTCCATTCTCCAAAGAAGTTTTACCAATCTTCAGGAAGGGGGAGCGAACTCCATTGGGTCGACAAGTTCTTTACCAATTCTGGCAAACCCAACTTATCTCCATGTTATCATAATTGAACTGTGAAGGAGCAATATAGAAATAAATGATCATTTGTCTCCTCAGGTATTATACAAAGCAAGCATGTTGTTATAGGAATACTCATCTTTCTCAGCTGCTCAATTGAGAGGTTTCTATCCTAAGAAGCCAACCAACAAAACTCCAGAAGTCATTGAGGAACCATAACAACCAAGACTTTGTTTGTTATTTGATGTTGCTCAAAGGCCTCCCATTGAATGCTAGTGAGTTAACTGAAAAGAAACCAGAAGTTGTGAGCTCCCTTGCCTTTGTGGGAGGGAAAAAAATTAGCCTGTGCATGCTGCAATTTCGAATCTTTCTTATTCTCAGTCCACCAACACACACACACACACCAAAAAAACCCGAACTCTCTCCTTTCTTTGTTGTCTTTGTTTATCCTGAAAACCCTGATCCTTTTTTTCTCCTGTCTTTGCTCATACTGAAAGGCCTGGTCTTTTGCTTCTGCACCCAAACATGTGAAAACTCTCTCCCTCTGATACGGGCCACAATTGGTTTTTTCTTTATACAAAAATCGTGGGCTCTCAAGTTCTCCATGGTGAAAATTTGAAAAAATGTGAGGACGAGTGTGCTCCCTCACTCTAAAAATTTTATATAATCAAGCAGTTTTTGCAATTTTGTATAACCATTGATAAATAATGAATATTTATCTTGTACGACATCAATTTGATAATATTACTCGAATTGATATTAGATCTTGGATATGAATTTCAACAAATCAGTAGCCAATTATTCACAAGAAATTAGGATTACCAAAGTTTCATTGTCATGATTTTCAGATTCAATGACCCTGGTAAAAACTATATGAATGATGGTTATTGTGTCGATGTTAGGCATTTAGGGAAATTGGCTTGACAGGATCCAGCCATGGAGCATGGCAAAGGAAAATGGTAAGAAAAAGGGGAGCTAAAAGATGCAAGAATCACCAATGGTGAAAAAGGACAACACTTTGATTGTTTAAAGAGCGAGAGAGATTAGGGAAGAGTGAGAGAGAGAGAGAGGGAGAAATTTGCTTATTGACTCGGGTAATTTTCGGAAAAAGAATAAAGGGAAATGAGGGAATTGATGGAAAAGGAGATGAGAGAAAGGAGATAGGAAATATTTTCTCTAGCGGGTAAACCCGTTCCCAGCCCAATAAGAATCCAAGCCAGAAACATCTGGCCTGAACCAGCTACATATAATGCGCCAGGCCTGTGCTTTAGGCGTGGCTGGGAGCGTTGGGCCATTGTCTGGCATAAAACTCAAAATTCAAATACCAAATATCAAGGGTTGAAATAAAGGGCTTAAAGCCTGTAGCAAAAGCAATTGGACAAAAACAATCTCAATACAACGAACAATTTAGTGATATCCAAACTAGGAAACTTGAATACTGTCCGAAAATTTCAGATATTCACATGAAGATAGGAATATAACTCTACAATGCACAAATTGAATCTCGCAATAATCTTAGCCATTTGGATTGGAAAGAATCAAAGAAGTAGAGATAAGCATATCGATAAGAAGAGTACAGGATGCAAGGAAGTTGGAGGATGCAAGGATCAGCGAAACCACGCACATGAAGAGTGGAGATACCACTTATACAGGTTGTCCTGCATGAGAGAGCCTGCCCAGCACGGAAACAGTAACAATGCCGTAAATTTCTCTTTCAGGTTCCATAAACCCAATACAGAGCTCTTACGGGGACACCGGAGCCCGTGCTAGAGTTACAGTGATACTTTCAATTAACACATCTCATGAACCATGACTTCTTCCAAATATCACCCCTTGCCTAAAAGCCCGGACAATGGGAATATATGATTGGGCCTCAGGCAAAACTCCTCTTTCCAGAACCCGATGCCGAATATCAAAAGCTCGTTCTAGTAAGCCTTTTCTAGACAACTCACCAATTAAAGTATTATATGCAGAGCTGCTTGGTACCATTCCCATGTCCATAATTTCCCCAAAAATGTTTTCAGCCTCTTGTATCATCCCATTCCTACAAAGACCAAAGACAAGCGCACTAAGGATATAGGAATCGGGCTGCACCCCTTGACTCACCATTTTATCAAGGAGAGACAAAGCCCTCCCTACCATGCCTTCCTTGCATAACCCGTTGATCAAAGCAGTGTAACATATCAAATCAGGACTTATGCCATCTTTAGTCATCTTACAGAACATCTCACTAGCTTTCTGCATCATTGATTTCTTACAAAACCCACATATCAGGGTACTATAGGTCACCAAGTCAGGAGCATTACTTTCACAAAGCATTTCATCAAAAAGAGTGAGAGCTTCATCCAAAAGGCCCTTTTTGCAATACCCATCCATCAAAATGTTGTATATGTAAGTCTCAGTAGATAATCCTTTCTCTCTCATCTCTGCGAAAATCTCTCCAGCTTTTGCAAGGTTTCCATTCTTGCACAAGCCATTAATGATTGTACCATATGTAACCTTATCCAAACTCTGGCCATCAGCTTCAATCTGCTCAAGAAATTCAAGAGCTTCAAAGAAGAACCCATCACTGCACAGACTTTTGATTATAATGTTGCAAGTGATCAAGTCCGGGTAAACACCCGAACTACACATTTCCCTATATATTTTTCTAAGATCAACCCTTTTTTCCTTGCAAAATTTGGTGATTATTGCAATATATGTGAAGGAATCAGGAAGAAATCCATTCTTAAACATCTCTGCCAGTATTTGCTCGGCCAAAGGCAACATATCTCTCTTGCAAATACCAGACAATATCTCATTATAAGTGAACATATCAGGGTGAATTCCCTCTCTAACCATCTCGGAGCACGAAGCAAGAGCTTCCTCCACCTTCCCCTCATTACAGTATCCATTTATAAGAGTATTAAAGATAACTCCATTAGGCGCCAATCCTTTATCCCTCATCTCCAATAAAAGATTCTCAGCATTCAAAAGACTACCAACTCGGCAAAAACCATTAACCAGGGAGCCATAAGTCTGAGAGTTGGGTAATATACCAGCGCCCTCCATCTCCTCTCTTAATTTACATGCTAGCCCTATATTGCCCATTTGGCAATACCCATCAATGAGAATATTATAAGAAATAACATTAGGGACCATGCCTTTCTCCACCACTTTGAGAAGAACTTCATTTGCTTTGTGGACCTGAGAGTTTTTGCAGAGCACACTTAAGAAAGTGTTACAGGTGATTAAGTCCAGGGCAAGGTTTTTCTCATAGAGTTTGTGATAGAGTGAGAGGGCATCATCCATAAGGCCACTTTTACAATATCCATTCACTAAAATGTTGTACACTTGTGCATTTGGTTCTAAACCTTGGTTTGTTAACCCATTGAAAACAAGCTTGGCCCTTTCACAATCTCCCTGTTTGCAAAGACTATCCAATAACACATTATAATAGGGCATGTCTAGGTGATTTCCACTAATCTCCATAAGACTTAGAAGATAAAGAGCCTCGTCAAGGAAACCCATTTCGCAAAATCCATTAATGGCAATCTCACAAGCACATTTACTGGCACAAATAAGAGAACCATACATTTCTAAACACTCAGAATCAAGGTGAGATGCATCCTTAACTTCTTTGCTAGAATGGTGCTTCCAAGAATTATGATCTCCATTAGAATCACCAAAAACATTCCTCTTGAAGACTTGACAGAGAACTTCTCGAGTTTCTACTAACATGTTTTGTCCGAGAAGAGCAGTCAAAATTTGAGCACCAGCTCTAATATCAGGAGAAAAACCCATCTTCATCATTCTTTTGTAGAGAGTGAGAGCATCAGCAAGTCGCCCATGATTGCACAGATTGTCTATCAAATTGTTAAAGACACTAGCAATAGGAGGAAGCCCAATGGCTTGAATTCCCCTAAAAAATGCCTTCTCATTCCACAATTCCCCTTGCTTACAAAGCTCACTGATTAAAGACAAATATGTATCAATGTCCAGGGAGATGTTAGCTTTACCCATTTCTTTCCTTAACTCCAATGCCCTTTTTAGATTACCCATTCTACAGTTGCCATCAATAAGAGCATTGTACGTTATCAGATCAGGAGCTAAACTTTCACTTCTCATTTCTCTAAATATCTCTTCAGCTCTTGTAACCAGCAACCTCTTGCAAAGCCTAACAATCATAGTGTTATATGTAACCAAATTTCTATTTATATTTCTTTCACGCATTTCTTCAAAGAGTGAGAGAGCATCATCAAAGAAACCCTCTCTGCAGAACCCATTTATCATAACATTGTAAGTGTACACATCAGGCAAAATACCCTTCTCGACCATCTCCCCAAACACCATTTCAGCCAGTTTTAACTCATTATTCTTACAAAGCCCATCAATTAAAGAGTTATAAACAACAACATCAATCGGTTTTCTCTCAAATTCGATCTTTTTAACAACATCAATAGCTTCAGATACTAAACCCATTCTCAAGAATCCATTAATAATAATGTTAAAGGTATAAGCATCTCCTGAAACTCCAAATTCATTCATTTCTCGATAAATATCCCAAAAATCAGCTATACGATTATCCTTAAGCAATTCACAAAGAATAGAATTGAAGGCAATTACAGTGGGTTTAAGGCTGTAATCTTTAATTTGGGGAAAAACCCTAATTGCATCAGAAACCCGTCCACTTTGTACCAGCCATTCAAGCACCATGCTACATGCTACATGCCTTGAATCCCAATCTAAGAAATTCTCAAAAAATAAGTAAAAAACCGAGGAAAAATCACTGTGAGAATTGGATATAAATTGAATGAATATAGATTTTGCAGGCTTGAAGAGTTTCCCAAGAACCAGTATATGAACAATGGTGACAATCACAAGGATAGGTTTGGGGATTTCGATGATATTAAAGAAATTTAGGGCGAGTTTAGGTTTATCCATGAACCCTAACAGGCTTTGGAGATCGTTCTGTAATTTCTTTTCATGGCAGTTTATGGCTAATCTTGAAGAACGTTTTTCGGTGAGGAGTAGCGAATTTTCACCAAAAAAATGGCATATACCTCTTACCAGGGCCGATGAAGCAGGAAATTTGGCCGGAATCGTTGCCCGAAAATGATATGGGGTCGCCAGAAATCTTATTCTCAACAGCAGGCTCATGGAGTTGTAGAGAAAGAAACACTGAAGAAATGGCAGAGAGAGAAACACGGCCACCATGGCGCGCCCTAGAGCCTGGGACGCTCGTCTTTCAGTCCCTCCATAGCACGGAATTAAGAATTAGTGAGGAAACAAAATTTTCGGCGAAAGATTGATGCGGAATTTTCAGTAAAATTTAAACGCCAAAGTATACTGTAGTGATTGCTAAACAGGGCGCATATCTAATAAAAAATGTTTTTGTTTCGTTTTTTTGTTTTTTTTTTAACTTTAAGTTTGGTTAATGGCACATCAACCTTTTTATTTTAGATGTGACGACTACGATTTCTTATACCAATAACAAATGATCTCCTTATACCAATAAAAAGGTTTTATTTTATGGGAAAGCTTTCTTTGTTCACCCTACCATGTAGAAATTCTATTTTTCCCCTACCATCCAAGTGTCTATTTTCTATCAAGGGAGTCACTCACCATTTGTTTTTAGATCCGACATCTTAAAATATTTTATTTTTAGTTTTTTTAATACAAATTTTCTGAATATCAAATTTGGTATGTGTCATCTTCTCATTGCGGTCACTTATAAAAAATATTAACAATAATTCTTTGATAAAAAATAATGACCAAAATACCCCTGAAAGATTGAAGAGGCATTTTGGTCATTTTATTTTATTGAAAATATTTTTTTTAGATTTTTCATTAGTGTGAGTTTAGTAGAGGAATGGACATGCAAAATTTGAAGTCAAAATAGTTTATAAAAAAAAAATTTAAAAATAAAATAGTGTAGAGATGTGACATTGTGATTGGGACAATCTTATCCCTCCATTCAAAAATGGAGGGTTGGATAAGGGGGATGATAGAACTTCTATGTTGTAAGGGGACTATAGAAAGCTTTCCCTTATTTTATAAGTTGTGGTTTGTATAGAGCCCAGGCTCTAAACAATCAAAATAAACGGCAACTTCAAATAGTATCGAGAAATATGGTTTCAAAACTTGAAATATTTGTGATAGCCTTAAAGTATATTTTTATTTATAATTATAAAATTTAAAACTTCAAAAATAGTGTAGATCGAGTAGATTTATGAAAACTTGAAAATGTTAAAAATTGACGGTGAAAAAATACGTTACAAGATGCACTATTTCCAAAACTTAAAATCCATTTTTTTTCCCATGTCCATACATTTTGATGTCGAGATGATCAATTTGAAGATATTTGGGCATGAAAATAACCTCTTCTAGTGAAATTTTTGAGGTGGGCTCTAATTTGATTGTTTAGGGGCTCGACTTTATATAAACTTTTTTCTATTCTATAATTTCTATATATTTTTAAGGAAAAATATGGAAAGAAATCGTTCGCTTTTAGCACAAAAAGGTGACAATAATTCTTCTCCATCATATTTCCCGTTGAGTGATTGTACAAGTGTCATTAATTAGACTCAAAGTTTTAAAACAAATTTCTCGAATTTTGTAACATACCCCAAACCATCCAATGTGAAATCTAATGACAATTGTTCTTGTGAAAAAGATAAATAGTCTCATGATATACAATTCTATACAATTCCTATTTGTAAAGTGTTGGATGTCAACAAGGAGGGATAGTGATTTTGCAAAGTGCCCCAATCATTTCCCAAGGATTTTGCAAAAGCTCTTTCAAGTTGTGCTAGACGATGTTGGATATTAAATAAGATAAAATCCTTACATAACTATTAAAGGGGTCAAATAATTTGAATTAACATTAAAGATGAAAATACCTTTGCTTTTTTATAGGTAAAAATAATAACAAACTGTTGAGGTCAACAATTAAGGATATTATGTCATTTGATGCTTGCAAGGCATTTGATGCCAAATAACAATGATATTCAAAGTTGTTGCTCATTATTAATATTGAACTATGTGTTTCTTATTTGTAATATTGAACAAATAGAGGTACTTTGTCATTTAGTTTGGGGCCTCTTCGGGGTGAAACTATTAATGTTCCTGAATGTTTATCCTTTTCAAACTTGAACAAGGTCAACTTGAAAATTTCTTAATATTTTTTGGTAAGGTACTTAAATAAAAGTGAAAATGAAATTGAAAAAAAACTAATCCACCTAACTTTAACTAGGATCATTTGACCCTTTTAATAATTTTGTATAGGGTTTCAACTCTCTAAATGATATTTTCCTTATAAATAATGTAGTATGCATGGTATACGTTCTCTTTTTAATATTGAAACTGATGAAGGGCCTCAAAGGAAATTGTAAGGGCCGAGATTTCTTGGCCATGGAAACACACGAGGCGGTAGGAGATGGACAGAGAAGAAGTAAGCACGACAGTAAGGGGAAGCATACCGCCGTGCGTGTTAGAGGGTAATGCCATGCATGAAGCGGAGAGAGGGAAACTAGTGCCGTGTGGGGATAACGTCGCGCATGAAGAGGAGAGAGAGAAAGCAGTGCCGCGTGGGGGTAACATCGAGCGTGAAGAGGAGAGAGAGAAAGCAGCGCTGTGTGGGGGTAATGCCACGCGTGAAAGAGAGAGAGGCAGTACTGTGAGTGTAAGTAAGAAGAAGAAATTTTCACAAGCGATAGTAAGATGGAGTAACATGGACTAGCACCATGCGTGTCACTGCCACCTGCCAGATGCATACTGCCACACATGCCACTTGTCATTGTGCATGTGTGGTGCTTGCCACTTGTCCAGCCTTAGGCTGCCACCCAGCCAACAGGGTACTTAAGCACTCTTCCCCCTCATGCCATTCATTTTACACCCTCTCTCTCTCTAAGAGCCAACAGTTAGAGTCATTGGAAGCTCACTGCTATCTCACTATTAGAGCCTTGTAAGAAGCTCGAGGAGGATTGTAACAAAGAAATTGAAGGCATCATTGTTGATTGAGTAAGTGGATCTACCACCCCTGCATCAAGTTTATAGAAGAACGAAATTGAATGCCTACAAGCATGGAATATGTGATAAAGAACAATTGTGTATAGTGATTTTATGTACCAGTCTATTGAACATGCCTCGGTTGTATTGTTAGTTTTGATATTAAGAATGGGTCTATTGCTCACAAAAATCTATGAAAACATGCATATGTATGTCTAAATCAAATGGACCGGATTCTATGTTAATATCTACTATGGATTGAAAGTTATTAAGTGTTTCATTCAGCATGCCCTGTGACACTGTGAATTTCCAAGAACTTGCATGTTTTTATATTAAGTATTTGAATAGACAAATGAAGTCCAAACGACCTCAATTCATTGTTATTGGAAATATATCTGTGTCTACTAAAATGTTCATGTTTAAATAATTCTCAAATTCTTTATGCATGAAGAATTATGCTTTAAATTGTGCATGTAGGTCATTATTAACAAAGTTAGTAAATTTTCAGAACTTATATCCATGTTGTCATGAATTTTGACTGACCAAATGGAGTCTGTTTTCTCCTAAACCACTGTCATTTGAAAAATATCCGAGTACGCTTGACTCACATGTTGAAAACATTTCTAAATTTCTTCGAGATTGAAAGTTATGCTATTATTTGTGAAAGTATGTCACTGTGGATAGATTTTACTAAAGTTCAGAACCATCACTTTAGTTGTCAGGAACATTTGAGTAACCAAATGGAGTTCAACCCTTGTTGGAAAGATACTGTTTATACTCGAATGTTGGTTTTGGAACCATTTTGAAATACCTTATGAATTGAAAGTTACAACCGCGTTAAGTGAGACATGTCAATGTCTCAGATACACAGCAGGAAACAGATGGTGAACCCCCATTGCATTACATGTTTGAAGGGCCAAATTGGGTTTAATTTCTTTCAAACCACTCCTATTTGAAATATGTGTATGTCTAGTGTAAAATTGGTTTTAGAACTATCTCCAAATTATAAACGAATCGAAAGTTATGACCCTATTTATGATCGGATGTCACTGCCTGAAATTGCAGGAAATGTGGGTTGTGATACTCAAAATGCGATACTAATACTGTCATTCTGTGATACTGATACTATCAAAATGTGATACTGATACCGTTGTTCTGTGATACTGATATTTCCATTATGTGATACTAAAAAATCGAACTGATACTGACCACTACGAAATAGGTCACCCATTGGTAGTGGATACTATTATACTGTGACTGTGAAACTGATACTGACTCTAACCACTACGCAATGGACCACCCTTTGGTAGTGGGTAATGTGATACTATTTTATACTATGAGTTACTGTGCCATTGAGCACCATGCAATGGGACACCCATTGGTGGTTGGATACTGCTTCGTAGGCAATTGATTGACTATACCGAGACCCCAATGATAGAAATGTGGTTGGGAAGTGAAACTGGATAATAGGGTGGGTCGGTCCCCCCAAATATTATGGCCACTACGCATTGGAACATCAAATGGTAGTGTAACGCTCTCTCGCTAGAAGGACAGAGAGGGTCGTGTCTTGCAAGGCCGCTGCCTATCGAAAATCCCCAAAGCCCGCTGGGGACGTGTATGTGTGTGAGGACCTTACGAAGTGGGACACCCACTTTTCATTGTCCTCCCTCCTGAACAAGGATAGAGGTTCCATGTTAAAGGAATTTCTTGACCTGATCGATGAAACTTCTATTTAAGGAGTAGGCTTCTCTAACTTTCACAGTGTTTAGTCTTAAATTGAAATGATGTATGATTTATGCACTACATGTTCTTGATAACTGAACTGTGTTCATCCTTATACTATAAGAGTATTAAAGGACATAATAGAGGAAAGTTTTTTGACATCTCTATAAATTAGTGATCATTGTTAACTGTTATTATCGTTTATAGAGTTGGAATGCAAAGGTGTAGATCTGCTTACTGAGCTGTTAGCTTATTCCATTTTTATTTCCATGATTGTAAAGCGATAGTCTTGATCTGAAGGACGCATAGCGGGCTTGTGTGCCGAACATGTGAAGCATGGAGTTTACAGAAAGGATCCTGCAGAAGTTTTTCATAGTAGGTGTTTAGTGGTGGTTGGATGCCTCGATCTCGCCTCCCCCGGTCTAAGTGATCGGGTGACACGTGTCTCGAGTTCAAAAGACCCGGGACTTGAGACCACTCTCTCGAGAACCTTGATCACAGAACAAGGATAGGTACCCAACTGGTGAGAGAGGAATTTTGACCAACCTCACCTAGGTCTATGACTCTGGCTGACTCGTGAGGGCGCCCTCCTT